CAGCCCTTCACTCTACACGACGCTGGAAACTCTTCTAGACGTCGAAAAAACGCTCTCAAAAGCACTCAGAAGCTCCGAAAATGCGTCGGAGGGATTCTAGAGAGAAGTTTAAGAGAGAAGGGAGAGCAAAAAGTTGTGTGGTGTGTGGAAATGAGGGGTGGGAGGCCCCTATTTATAGGTTTTCGCGCCTGGCAGTGGCGAGACCGCCGTTCTTGTCTGACAGGGTCGAGACTGCCGTCTCGTCCTGCGCAGGTGGCGAGATCGCCGTCTCGTCCTTCGCAGATGGCGAGACCGCCGTCTGGGAAAGCGAGACCGCCGTCTCGCCACTTGCTTGAGGCGAGACGGCGGTCTCAATTTTAAGACGGCGGTCTCGTCCCAAAAAGGCGAGAAAACTTATTTTTGTGCTGAAAATTCCTCCTATCCTAGTATGGGGCCTAATAGTCTCTCCTAGTGTCTTGTTAGGCTTCGTCCATCTTCGAATAGGAGGTCTTCTTCTCTTTATTTGGAGGCCGGGCAAGATTTGGGGTCTACAGCTGCCCCCCCTTTACCCGACCAGTCGATTGCCGGCCTTTTGTGCAAAGGTGATCGACTAGAGGGTAAAGGAGTTGACCCTCTTGCCCGATTGCCCTTCAGATGTTCCATCTTTGCGGCGGATGATCCTCTGGGGAAATATTGTGCGCTTCTGGGATGCTCCTTCTGACAGTAGCTGACCCCTTCGGCTATTGAGTACGAACCCCCATCTGGTTTGATGAGTATGAGCCCTCGCCCGGTAAGCCCCCTTTTGTAAGGCCTGATGAGTATACACCCCTACCTGGTGTTTGGCGAGTATGAACCCTCGCCTGGTAAGCCCCCTTCTGTAAGGCCTGATGATTACACACCCCCATTTGGTGTTAAGCCTTCGGATGCTCCATCTTGTGGTGAGTCGATCCTCTGGCCGTGGTGGCGGCTTACTGCTCTAGCTCATGCGCCGGTGTGAAACCTCGGGATGCTCCTTTGATGCGGTAGCTGACCCCTTGGTTGACGAGTACGAACCCTCGTCTGGTTTGGTGCCTCTGGATGCCCCTTCTTGCGGTAGTTGATCCTTTGGCTATGGTGGCGACTTACTGCTCTAGCTCATGCGCCAACTCCTTGGGGAGTGATTTTTGTGTTGGTAGATGTCTTTGGACCTCTTTGAATTGTCATCCGGACTACTCCGGGGATTCTTTGTTTTTTTACTTTTGGTAGTGATCATCTGATTCTTGCTGGCTGGTCGGATGGGTCTTTGTTTTTGCTCGACTCTTGCTTGGCAGTCGAAATTTTGTTGGTTGAGGTGATGGCTTGTCTTAATCCTGCCTTTTTTCTCGCGGTTTTATCTCTTTTTTCTCGCGATTTAGGATTTTTGCTTTTCTTATTGAGCGTATGCCTTTTTCCTTTCTAAGCTTTTTTGTTTTATGCTAGCTCTTGCAAGGGGTAGCAAAGAGATGCATGAAATAAAATTTTTATTTATAGGGAAATTTTATTACAACCACTTTTTATTTAGGCAAGTACCATCCCTAAGGGCTATCTTCTAGAGATGATCCACGGGCGAATTGCTGGTAGAGGTGATACCTGTCGCCGCCGTCCGTTCCGACGTCCTGAGGACGTCTTGAACGTTTATGCGAGCGGTCGCGAATAGATGGTTTGGACTCGCGTTTTTTGTTAAAATTGTGTTCATTGCTTCCGAGGAGCTCAACACTGAACTGTCCTCTAATAAAAGCAAGGTTTTCGAAAAAGGGGTTCTTTTGGAGTCGCCACCAATGTTTTGACCGGAAACATTGGAAAAGGAAAAAAAAAGCATTGATTTTAATAAAAACCAACTTGGCCATTATAACCAGAGTTGGGTAAGGGAGTTAGTTACGTGTGGGGAAGGTGTTAGCACCCCACAACGCCCCTTTCGGGTTCCCTATGACGGATTAATTCATTAAGTGAAGATTATGAGAAATTACACAGTTACCCTTATTTTATTGATACAGTATTAAATATGGCTATCTACATGATTTATCTATATTGCATACAGAAAGCAATAAATAAAGCAATAAAGAAGAAGAGACTTGAGAAAAAACCTCCGTAGCAAGCTTTATATTATGATTTCGTTACAAGGAGGACGCGTTTCGGCAGTCCTTCGCTCTACAATTGCTCTCCTCTCGTCTACCCTAATCGACTCGACTAAAACTTTACTGAAGAATCGAATGCCGGAATACAAATTCCTTAACTGATTGTTACCTAAAAAAGGCAATCAGAGAGATCATTCGAGAGAGGGAGAGAAGAAGACAAGTCTCAGAGTTGTCTGGTGTGTGGAATGAGACAAATGAGGTTCCTATTTATAGCATTTTTCACCCTGGAACTTTGGGATGGCCGTCTGGGTTGGGACGGTCGTCCCAAACGTGCTTTCTACGTTGTGCCAATCTGGGACGGCTAGTCTGGGTAGGGATGGCCGTCCCAAATGCAAATTTGTTCACGTTGGGACCCCCTGGTGTTTGGGACGGCCGTCCCACATTTGGGACGCGCGTCCCACTTGCTTAATTTCAGTTGGGACGGCCGTCCCAACTCGGGACTGGTGGTCTCGACTGCTTTGGCCTACTCTTGTGTTTTGGGACCCCCGGAAGCTTTCCTTGCTCGTTTTCGGACATGGATTGGTGCCGATATATGTCCGTTGAAGCTTTATCTTCGTGTAGGAAGTCTTCTTGGCCTTCATTTGAAATGTCGGGCGAACTTTATCTCTGTATAGGAAGTCTCCTTTGTCCTTTATCGTGCAGACGAGCGATCTCTGTGTTTGTTGCGGGAGTTTTCCTCGGTTTTGGGAAGCCGGATGCACTCCATCTTCGGGCGAAGTTCCTCTAGCTTTTATTTTGAGAGGCCGGGCAAAATTAGGGGTCTACAGCTGCCCCCCCTTCACCTGCCTAACTAATTCGTTGGTTTTAATATGCCGACAAAATTAGTTGATAGGGGAAGGAGTTAACCCTTTTACCCGACTATCCTTCGGATGCTGCTCCTTGCTGATCCTCCGGATGATAAATATTTTGATAGGTACTAACCCCCATCTGGTTTGAGCCTTTTTTTTTTTTCTAAGGCTTTGGTGAGTACTTACTCTCACCGGGTATAAGTCTGTATTTTTACTAGACTTTTGTGGGTACCTACCCCCACTAGGTATGAACCTTGTTCTGCAATGGTTTTAGTGAGTACCTACCCTCACCTGGTATGAGTTTACGTTTTGCTTAAACTCTTATGGGTACTTACTTCCGAGGTGCTCAACACCGAACTATCCTCTAATAGAAGCAAGGTCTTTGCACTCATTTTTTGCAATGCTCCCGGTGAGTATTTTTACTCCACCTGATGCATTTTTGCTAGGTTTTTTTTGATAAGCCTCGTTTTGCAAGGCTTGGGTGAGTACGCACCCCACCCGGTGTGAATGATAAGCCTCATTCTGCAAGGCTTAGGTGAGTATGCACCCTCACCCGGTGTGAATGATAAGCCTCATTCTGCAAGGCTTAGGTGAGTATGCACCCCCACCCGGTGTGAATGATAAGCCTCATTCTGCAAGGCTTAGGTGAGTATGCACCCCCACCCGGTGTGAATGATAAGCCTCATTCTGCAAGGCTTAGGTGAGTATGCACCCTCACCCGATGTGAATGATAAGCCTCATTTTGTAAGGCTTAGGTGAGTATGCACCCTCACCCAGTGTGAATGATAAGCCTCATTCTGTAAGGCTTAGGTGAGTATGCACCCTCACCCGGTGTGAATGATAAGCCTCATTCTGCAACGCTTAGGTGAGTACGCACCCCCACCCGGTGTGAATGATAAGCCTCATTCTGCAAGGCTTAGGTGAGTACGCACCCCCACCCGGTGTGAATGATAAGCCTCATTCCGCAAGGCTTAGGTGAGTACGCACCCCCACCCGATGTGAATGATAAGCCTCATTCTCGCAAGGCTTAGGTGAGTACGCACCCCCACCCGGTGTGAATGATAAGCCTCATTCCGCAAGGCTTAGGTGAGTACGCACCCCCACCCGGTGTGAATGATAAGCCTCATTCTCGCAAGGCTTTCAGGATGAACTTTTTTTTGTAGTCAATCCTATGATCATCTGTTTTTGGAGATGAGTTGACGGCTTACTGTTTTTGATCATGCGTCCCTGGGGAGTAATTGATTTTTCTTTTTGACTTTTCTGTTTTAGTCATCTGGTTTTACCAGGGATTTCTGTATTTTGGCTTTTCTTGTTTTAGCCATTCGGTCTTGGCTAGGGATTTTTGATTGCCTCTTTTTTTTTTTTTTTAGGCAAGAATCCTCTGGGGATTTGATTTCTATTAGTTGTGCCTCTTGATTAGGCGGAAATCCACTTGGGGAGATTCTTGTTTGGTTGTGCCTCTTGATCAGGCGGAAATCCTCTGGGGATTTGAGCTTTTTGTTGATTGTGCCTTTTGTTTAGGCAAGAACCCACTTGGGGATATGATTTCTATTTAGTTGTGCCTCTTGATTTAGGCATATGCTTCAATAGTGGTGAAGACTTAGGTTTTGGATTGCCTCTTGCATAGGTTGATTTCCCGTTTCTTGGGGATATTGGCTTTCTGCTTGCCTGTTGGAAGTGAAGACTTTGCTTTTCACTGGGGATATCTGTATTTGGGAATTTATACGCGATTCCCTGAGGATATAAACTTGTAGTTTTGCCTTCATTTGGTAGGCTCGCTGGGGATTTTCTTTTTGGTGATCTGCTGGGGAATTGATTTCATTATGGAGATCTTATTTTGGATTGCCCCCAAGGGAGTGTAGACCCCTAATTTTGCCCGGCCTCTCAAAATAAAAGCTAGAGGAACTTCACCCGAAGATGGAGTTCATCCAGCTTCCCAAAATGAGAAGGACCTCCCACAACAAAAGACGGAGTTCATTCATTCACACAATAAAAGCCAAAAGAGACTTCCTACACAAAGACAAAGCTCGCCCGGCATCTTAATGAAGGCCAAGAAGACTTCCTATATGAAGATAAAGCTTCAACGGACACACATCAGCATCAATCTACGTCCGAAAACGGCAAGGAAAGCTTCCCGGGGTCCCAAAACGCGAAGACTGGACAAAACAGGCCGGGACCACGGTCCCAAAAGTGGGACGGCCGTCCCAACTGCAATTAAGCAGTTGGGACGCGCGTCCCGAACGTGGGACGGCCGTCCCAAACCCAGTTTAAGTGGGACGGTCGTCCCGGCTTCCCTGGGGGTCCCGTTCTGTGTAAATTTGCCATTTGGGACGGCCGTCCCAGTCCAGACGGCCGTCCCAACCCAGACGGCCGTCCCAACCCAGACGGCCGTCCCAAAGTGCGCCAGCTGCGAAAAACTATAAATAGGAGGCTCATTTGCCACTTTTTCACACCACAGACACTCCAGAGAGCTCTGAAACTCAGAGCACTTGTCTATTTCTCTCCCTCTCTTGAATGATCTTTCCGATTGCCTTAAATAGGTAACAATCGATTAAGGAATTATATTCCGGCATTCGATTCTTCTTTAAATTTTTAGTAGAGTCGATCCTGTATTGGTGAGGAGAGTCCGTGTAGAGAGAGGGTTGCCAAAACGCATCCTCACGGCTTCGAGATTCTCAATATCAAGCTTGCTACTGAGGTTCTTTTCAATTCTCTTCTCTTTTATTGCTTTATTTATTGTTTTATTTAGCTTTATTTATGCCATGTAGAATAAAATCATGTAGATAGCTATTTTGTCTCTCTTATTGCTTTATTTAGCTTTATTAATCATTTTATGCATGCAATATAAAATAAAATCATGTAGATAGCCATTTAATATTATGTAATAAAATAGGGTAATCGCGTAATTTCTCGTAGTCTTTACTTAAATGAATTAATCTGTCATAGGGAACCCGAAAGGGGCGTTGTGGGGTGCTAACACCTTCCCCACACGTAACTAACTCCCTTACCCAACTCGGTTATAATGGCCAAGTGCGGTTTTTCTTAAAATCAACATTTTTTCCTTTTCCAATGTTTATGGTCAAAACATTGGTGGCGACTCCATAAGAACCCCTTTTCGAAAACCTTTTAAAACAAAAACGCGAGTCTAAACCATCTTTTCGCGACCGCTCGCATAAACGTTTCTAAGACGTCCCCCTCGGACGTCGGAAAGGGACTGCGGCGACGGATGGCGACTCCACTGGGGAAGCTAGAGAGTTGATCCCATTTAGTGACGAGATAAATTCAAACTAAGCAAAGATTTGAAATTACGCTTTTACCCTCCGTATGTTTTTACTCGTATGGCTTTAATAACTCGCTGTATGACTATTTTCTCGCAAATTGTTTGAAATATAAATTGCACACAAAACCCTTGCACACAACAGTCCCTCTATACCCGGGGCAAGAGTGAATATCTATAGGGAGTGGGTGGCGGATACGATCGGTTAGTTGGCACACGGGCTACCGCCGTTGTCGGAAAACCACCAACTCAAGGTGATAACTCTCTTCTTTTGGTCTAAGGGTGTCGCCACGGAGTTCCGTGCATGACCCGAGGATTGAGAGATTGAGAGGTCCCTATAATGGGGGCACCTTGGGGACCTTTGGCCTGGTGAGAACAGTTAGAACCACCTAAACCAAGCACGTTTCGCAGGAAAATCCCACCTCGTGATTAAATAAGCATGGCTCGCTCGTGGATGTATGAATTGTGTGTGCATACGTTTGTTGCATTTGTATTGATGCATTAGCATAGGGTAATCATACAACAAACAAAAAGTGAAAAACCCTAAAAATCATAAAAAAAATGAAAAACCCTAAAAATCATAAAAAAATGAAAAACCCTAAAAATCATAAAATAATGAAAAAACCCTAAAAATATAAAAACATTAAGGTCATAAAAATACCTTTTTACAAAAGATTCTTGGCAAAGTCGTATCATTAATTCCATATCATCCAATAAGTGGTAAAATTAAGAAAGAAAATAATTGCAAAGCATGCTCATCATTTTAATAAACCCCTAAAAAATGGGTCTTAGAGACGTTTTTTGGGAAAATTATTGGGCCAAATCGCCTTCGGCAATTTGCAGCTTGGTTCTTCACCTTTTTCTCTTCGTTTTGACATGCTCGTGCGTCCAAATCGGACAACCCAGTCAAAAGTTATGCCACTTTCAATATCTCGTCGTCATAAAAAATATTTTTGTACCGCATACATAAACACATTCATCTTAGGGCATATTTATTCCACGCTAATCATTTAAAATAAAAAGTCATAATAAGAATCATTAAAATCATTTAGAAGGTGGTCGGTCTTCTACCTGTTCTCACTAGCGCTCAAGAAGCCAAGAAGATGGAGAAATTAGAGGAGCAGAACCGTATGCCGACCACCGAGCTTAATGTCATAAAGGAACAAATAGCGCAATTAATCTGAGCTAATGTATCAGCAATGCTTCCACAATACGGTCTCCGAGCAACGAATTTCTGCCCTAGAAGAAAAATTAGAGGGATATAACTTTGATGTAAAGGAGGTAACCGATGTCAAAAATACTCGATTCCCTCCCAAGTTTAAGAAATCCCACGCATCATTCAAGAAGCCCTTTGGCAAGAAAAAAGAGGGAAGTGTAAATGCCATGAACTTTGCTACTATTTCTTCCTCTTCGCCATCGGTTGGACAGATCACGCAGACAAGAGAAGAAATTCACTCCCATCCCAATCTCTTATGGGAGTCTGCTGCCAAGGCTTTTAGAGGCCAAGCTCTTAACATGTATCTCCCCAAAGAAGAAAGATCCACCTTACCCTGGTTGGTACAAACTCAATGAAAAATGTGATTACCACTCGGGTGCTCCCGGGCATTCCGTGGAGAATTGCATCAACCTCGAAATATAGGGTTCAAGAATTATTGAATGCCGGGTGGATTACTTTCGATGCTCCCGACCCAAACGTAAACATCAAGCCTCTATCACAACCCGAATGAAGGATGGGTTAAGGAAGATCGAGCACTTAGGGCTCATCATTTTTGTCATCTAATAAAAAAATATATATACAAAAAATAGATAACAAAAAAAATATATCAAAAAAAAAAAAACTTCCGATGTACCCTCGTGATCCCTGCCCATGATCACGAGATTTTTGGTTAATAAGGGTTTTGTAAATATTTGCATTTATCGATACAATAAGGCATTTTCCATTTCTCTTTCATTATTTTCTCTCTCATACGTCTAATAAAGGAATCTAAAACAAAGCATAACCCATACAGTCATGTATCGTGATTGAAAACTCTCTGCGGGATCCGAAAGCCGAAGGCGAATCGATTGAGTCGAGACAGTGAGGAGGGGACCATTTCCCGGACATGCAAAGACTGTTGGAGAAAAGAAGCTTAATTGATACAGCCCCATAAGAAAAAACGAAGGCCTTCAATTTGGGACAAGGAGACAATAAGAAAGAAGTAAATGTCGATACCCAAATTGATAATGTCGGGGAAGGGGCAATAACACCTTTGCGCTTATACGTCGGAAAAGGTTGTACCGTGGATATGCATACAAGAATCGTCCATTAATGAATATATCTCCAATATAGCCGTCATTGGGGGCGGGACGATAAGAAAAATTAGTCACCCAAGGAGTTACAAGATAATGCTCCTAAAAACAAAGGAAAAATAAAGAAACCGAAGAGGAAAAGGAAAAAGATTGAGCGAGACCTTGGATTCGCGGTGCTAAGGCGTTTCTTCAACGCTCCACCGAAAAACCAAAATTCGTGGTAGGCGACAAGCCGATGCGACGCTAAAGACTACATTCAAATCAGCGAACCGTCTACCATACCTTAAATGGATGCGGAGAAGAAGACATTTGAAAATATGAAAAGACTTCTTAGCGAGTATAAAAAGTGGCCCATATAATGAAGAGATATGAGTATAGCCCGGACAAGGGCTTGGAAAGGAGGCCCAAAGAAGATGGAGCCACCGGATCTTAAGGATAATCCTTGAAAATACGACCCCGCAAAAGATCAAGTTGTACAAAGAAAAGAGAAGTCTCCCTCCATACCTAAAAAGACGATCTTCCGGAAAAAAGGGATGTTAGCATCAAGGGTAGCATTAATCATTAAATGTCCTTCTTCCGATTTTAAGGGACGTAAACCCAATGACTATTAGAGATCACTCCTCGGGATATGCCCGACCCCCGAGCATCTTTAGAGCACGCATTTCCCTGAAATTATAAAATAATGCTATTCTTACTATCTGCTTCTTTTCCTGCTAAACATGTCTATACCCCATTAAATAACCCTGTTTAGACAAACGTTTTGTTCCAAAATGCGTCAAAAAAATCAAAACGCCATAAACAAAATGAAGCCAAAGTTAACACGATTGATTAGCTAGAGACACGAATAAGAAAATCGTGTTTCGACAATGTTTGAGAAAAGAAATTATTATTAAAAGAAGCCCGTCAAGGTCAAAGACCAAGACAAAAAAATAAAAGGGCAAAATCCTAAGCAGACTAGGAATGTTAATCAGTCATAAGTAAAACGTTTGTTTGAACTAGCCTAAACACTAACCAACCTTGGCTAGCCATTCTTACAGAAACCTTTATTACAAAAATATCCCTCTAAAACACAAGCCTTTGCAATAAATCCCTTTCCTTCTATTCTCTTGACCCTTCACCATAAAGCATTCAAGTAGTTGACTGGGAAATGTGGAAATATAGTGATCAATAGGAGGATTGAAATCCCTAAGGAAAGGAAGAGGGGAATTGACATGGCAATTGCTCTGTATTCAAAATGATTACTCTTCAGTTATAGCAAATATCCGAGACGACAAATCGGTACAGCTAATCATGTTGATAAAAGCACATGATGATGGAAGCAAAATTAACAGAAGCTGAATGGGTTCAAAGCCGATATGACCAGCTAAACCTTATTGAAGAAAAACGGCTGAATATTATATGTCACGGACAAGCCTATCAAAGGAAAATAAAAAGGCTTACAAAAAAGGTCAACCCTCATATTTACCAAAAGAAGGATTTAATGGTAAATAAATTGCTTCCGGCCCAAAACAATAAAATTGGAAAATGGGCACTGAACTACGAAGGACCCCTTTGTGGTCAAATGAGCTTTCTCGAAAGGGCTCCTATCCTCATCAATATGGATGGAAAAGAACTTCGACACCTAATCAACTCCGATACGGTGAAGAAGTATTATGCTTGAAGACATTGCTCAAGACCCGTCGAGAATGAAAATCCGCAAAGGACATTCCCTGGGCAAAAGATAGGGTCCATATTCCTCGCTAGGATACGTCCTAGGAAAAAGAAGAGGTAAAAAAAAAAAAAAATAAATAAATAAATAAAAAAAAGAAACTAAGAGCAATGGTTACTTTAAGTCGAAAACCGAAAAGGCGGCTAAAGTAACATTCTTCCGAAGCAAGCAATCCGCATGGTCTTCACTCGAGCTCGGGCATCTCAACTGAAGCAATTAGGAGAACCAGGGGGCAGATATCATGGACATGACTCGTTTAAGCCTATACAAGTATAGCCAACCCCGACTACCCATTCTTCTAAATACCTTTTGAAATCCTTCTAGAAATAAACTTTTGCTCATTTATTAATAAAATTCCCTTTTATTTCCTTTCTCTTGACCACATATTATGGAAATGCCTCTTTATTGATAAATCATAAATATGCGTAAAGACTTTTAATCAAAGATCAAACATGCATCCAAAAAAAAGAAGCATATAAAAATAATAAAGGAATAAAAGCCTGCTAGGATATTCTTAGGAAAAAACTAGGGTAGCCTGCTAGATCGGAAACCCCAAAAGAACGATCTAGGCAAAAGATAAGGCAAAAGCCCCCTAAGATATTCTAGGCAAAAATAAAGGCAGCCCACTAGATCGAAAACCCGTAAAGGGCGGTCTAGGCAAAAGATAGGGCTAAAACCACAAGATGACCAAAAGATGAGTAAAAAATGAGCCCATCATTATGGTCATAAAAGAGGAGCCCATCGGCATATTCATAAAGAAGCCAACGGGAGAAGGCCAGTTACTTTCTAAATGCATCAAAAATATATAAACAAATAGATTGCATTTAAGACACCCACACACAAAGTAGTTGCATAATACGACTTTGTCAAGCTCAAGAAA